ACTCAGTTAAAATGGGAAATCACGTACAGTGCGGTTCCAAACCTGGGGGTCGGGACCCCCCCACTAGGCGTTTAAACCAAAACATCATTTGGGGTTTGCGGAGGCTTCTTTGATTTTGTAAGGCGGCTTGGCTTAGGGAAGCCGCTAGAGGTGGGGTTAAAAAAATATCTAACAACATTGTAATCGGTTTCATATTTTTGTTGTATGGATTGTACACAGTTTTCAGTGGGTTTGAACCCCTACTGCTAATAGCAGGTGTTGTAAACATTAAGCTGAGGCGCCTATTGGTTTGGACTGTCACAGCGGACTGCTGATAAATATAAATGCCAAGATGCTTTTGGGTTGCATAAAAACCAGAAACTAGAAACTTTTTTTATTGGCAGATTTTATGCATTTTTTTAATAATGGTGTCCTCTTTTTATTATGACAGTTTTTCCTAAAAACAAAAAAATATATACACAGCTGTCAGGGACAATAAAGCACTGGACTTTGGGTCAAGGAAAAGAAGCCTATTAATCTGTATGATTTGTTTAGACAAAATAAAAAAGTACATAATATAGAAAAATAATTATTTTTTAAGTATAAGTATTACAAAGAGTTATTTTATTTTTATAACAGAAATAATCTTCGCTCAAATTTCTTTCAAATCTCTGCTTTTACACAAACTTCTTGGCAGTTACTGAGTTCGTTGTTTTTGGCTTCATTGTACAGGTTCTTGAAATATAATATGAACTATCCATAAATATGGTCACTAAGGTCAGGGTTGTCAGTTTAATGGGAAGACAGGAAAAAGTGGTCCCTTAAGCGAAAAAGGTTGGGGGACACGGAGGGTTAGCATATGCTTGGACTACTAATCAGCGGTGTCCCTGGGGGGAGGGCGCAATTACAGCATAGGGGAAAGGGGGGTATTGGCCCCCATTAAAAAAAGAAAATAATGATTGCAATTTATTCCCTGCAATTTGTCATAGGGGGCTAAACCACCGATCATCCATAACATTGGGTAAGCACTGACAGGTGGATGCAATAACACTGATTATCTGTTGATCATGGGCTCCTGTCAGTGGGTGGGGATTATATCAGGCAGCAAGTGAACATTTTTGGTCCTCAAGTTGGATGTGTTAGAAGCAGGAAAAATGTCTGCAGCCCGTGGAGGATTCAGCGACTTTGACAAGCGCCACCATCTGTGGATGCGACGACTGGGTCAGAGATCTCCAAACCTGCCCAAGCCTCTTGGTGGGGTGTTCCCCGGGTCTGCAGGAGGTCAGTACCTATCAAAAGTGCTCCAAGGGAAGGGAAAAAGAATCAGAGACAGGGTCATGGGGGGCCAAGGTTCATTGATGGATGCACGTGGGGAGTGAAGGCTGGCTCGTGTGGTATTATCCAACAGACGAGTACTGTAGCTCAAACTGCTGAAACAGTTAATGCTAGTTCTGATAGAAAGGGGTCAGAACACACAGTGCAGAGCAGTGTGTTGGTATGAGGCTGCAGAACATTGTGACCACCAGGGTGCCCAGGGGGTCGCAGTGTTATTGCTGATGGTGTATAGTCAGACTTTGAATATACATGTCTGCCACTTCTTACAGTATCTGCTGTCCACAGCTGCTTTATACTGAAAAGCTTTTACTTCACTTTATGAAATCCCTGCAGCATCTGAAAACAGCAGGACACATATATAAATCCACAGCCGTAATGCAGGCCATTCACTGTCATTACCTTCATCAAATCAGCTGAAAACGACAGCAGGCTGCTTCAGTGTAATCATTCAGACTGCTACATACATCAGACTGGTAGGTTATAGCTCTATATTCTGCTTTTTATGAAGGAGATGTCCGGTTACCAGGGTTTATCATAGCCTCTTTTCCAAATTTATTTTTAGCATAAGTAGTGTCTCATGTTCTCGATGATGTGTAACAATAATTACTAAGTGACCATACAAGGTGAGATACATTAGAATTACTGCTAAAATAGGGTCGGTCTGATCTAGTCATATAACCTGTTTCACCAAATCAATGTCAGTTTTTTATTTCTATGGTTATTATAGCAACTACCTGATGTCAGCTGCAGATTTGTGCAGATGTGTGTTCATGATGTTCTAAAACATCCAGACACTTCCTGCAGTAAAGCTTTCAGTTTTCTGTGTGAACTGTGATCTGCACGGCTGTTACCGAGCTATGAGACCAGTGATGGGACTGGCAGAGAGAGTATTTATTAATCACTGTACCTGCTGATCATTATTCACCTTCAGCCAGCCTTTATGCACGATGCACTGCTGTAAATACATGAATCAAAATGTAACAATGGAAACACACAATCCTCCCAAACCTCCCATCTTGCTCTTTGCTTTTATTATTCATAGGGTTCAAAATATTAAACTGAAGCTAATGTGCATGTTCTTGCCCCCCTTGTGGAACTGGGCCTGCATATAGAATGAGCATTACTACATAATATAGAACATAATAGTAATAAAAGAAAAACTCATCAAAAAAAAAAACATTTAAAAAAATGATGGTGTATATGCATTACGCCACTGCTACTGATTCACATTTTCTGCCTTTCCTCTGAATGATTGGAAGGTATTTGTAATCATTTATAGGTTTGGACAAAACAAGCATTGTGAAGGTGTCGCTCTGGGTAATTGTGACATCATTTCTCAATATTTTCAGAATCAGTAGAGGAAATACTAATCAGCAGATGAATACCTATGAAAATAATGTGTACAATAATCATAATCATTCGTTTTCAAAATATTTGAAAATGAGCTCCATCTCAACCATCTACAACAGCAAAATCCTGCTTTTACATTAATGCACGAGTAGTAATCTACTGATATCACACATGACTTGTCACTGAGAACCCCCTTGAAAACGAGATGGTTCATCTTAAGGGGTTATTCCGAAAAAATAAAGAATTTCCAACATATAATGCTATAACAGTTTGTCTGTATCAGACTGTACATGTCTGTATTATTTACTGAACTGACCTTTAACGTAACAAGGCAGCTCAATTAAGAAGCTGATTAAAATAACAAACTATTCACAAGTGCTCTGAGGTCAGTTATGTGTTGTTAATGCTGAGAGAGAGATCCACTATCACACCACCCTCCCCTTTCATCACACACACACACACACACACACACACACACACTATTTAACACCCTCCTCATATAGCTGTGAATGGTTTTGCCTCTGCTCTCTATGAAGGGCAGCGAGCACTGACTCACGTCGTGCCATCAACTTCACTAAGTTTGTTTTCTAAACTTGAATCTCCGAAATGTCGTGAACTGAAAACAATACGTACAGTCTAAATCTGCACTAGGGTCCTCTAGAGGCTGCAGTGTGTGTTACAGCCACAATATGAAGAAATAACATCCTGATTTATTCTTAGTCTTCCCAGTAGTGTGTCCTCAGTGGAAAGGTCATTCAAATCTAAAGGGTTCATCCTCCGAGGGACAGGAATTAAATCAAGGAACTACTGACCGACCAACCAAATTGTGACGTCACCCATTGTTTTGTACCGTTTTGTAGCCTTGAGTTCAGAACTACAGCCGTTGCCATTTTGTTTACTTGCAGCCAGCAGCAGTGACGTGCTGCGAGTTTCAACTCGTCCGAGCAGGAAACAATGGTGGCTTCCCTGGTCACATTACTGATCATTCCTGGTACACTGAATGTGTATCTGATAAGATTTTAGATAAGTAATAGTCCACACAGTAACAGAATCTGGATTCA